TAATTTTTTTGCATGACTTCTAGTGGGTTAATGAGAATTGGAAAATGTAAAGAAATCGGAAAAAGGAAGGTCGACAAGATTGTTTATAATTTTGTAGGTCATAAAAAGATCGAATTTGACTCTGCGGTGTTCAAGAGAATCGAATTTTAAAACAGATAGTCTCGATGCGTAATCAGTGTAAGAAATATGGCTTCTTTTCAAGGTAATTCTGCTGAAGTATCTTTGGACGTTTTCGATGCAAAGTTGCAAAGTATATCTTTAAAGAGGTAAGGACTCCACACTGGGGTGCAAGATTCTAAGATTTGACGCACGTAGACCTTGTAGGCTTTTAAGAGAAGATTTGAATCATTACTGATAAAGGTTTTGAAAAGTAAATATAGACGGGCGTAAGCTTTTTTGGCAATACGAGAACAGTGTTTGGAAAATTTTGTGTCAGGAGATACCGTAATAACAATATCTTCAATACAGTTAACAGTCATTATCGGGGTGTCCAGGCAAAACGAATACGAATGAACAGTCAAAGATTTACTTCCAAAAAATAAGTGGAATCATTTTTTGAATGCGACTTTTTGTTGCCAGTAAGCTGTCCAGTCAGAGAACTTTTTTAATGATAGGTCAGCATTGTTATTTTCGTCTCTCGTTTGGTACAATTTGCTATCGTCAGCAAACAGCTTTATTCGACAATCACCTTCAATACAAGAAACTACATCATTAATAAATAATAAGAACAAAGTCGGAGCCAACACAGTTCCTTGGGGTATTCCACTCTTTACAGGTACGTAGTTTGAGTAAGAATTACCAATACAAACACATTGGGATCGATCAGTTAAAAAGTTGGTAATCCAATTTAAAAGTTCGTACTTAATGCCGTAACAATTCAGTTTGTACACTAACTTAGAATGCAATACAGAGTCGAATGCCTTTTCGAAGTCAATATAGATAATATCAACTTCTTTTTTCTTGTTAAAAGATGAGGTCCATTCATTAAGAGAAGCTTACATCTGTGTACATGTAGATCTACGCCTTAAGAACCCAAATTGGTGAATAGAGATAAAGTTATTAAGTTGAAGGTACATTTTAAAACTATTATCAATAATTGACTCCATAACTTTGCAATTAATACGAGCCATTGAAATAGGTCTGTAGTCCGTAGATAAGGAGGGGTTACCTTTCTTGAAAATCGGACATACATATGCGGTTTTCCAAATATTCGGAATTACACCGGTTAACATCGACAACTCGAAAAGGAGAGAGAACGGGATGGAAATAATATTAGCAATCAATTTCAGGAATAAGGCAGGATACCCATCTGGTGATTTTGATGACTTTGGTGGAAGTTTTTGAAGAGCTGATAGAACAGAATCATAAGAAAATAGGACATTATTCAAAGAATTATCGTGGGATAGTAGGTCTAGTACAGGTTTAGTACCGTTGTCAGAGACAAAAACTGAAGCAAAAAAATTGTTCTGAAGGCTCGATTTTTCACAGTCATCAGTACAAAGGGAACCGTCGGGTTTTACAAGTGGCGCAACAGAATTTAAACAGTTAAATTTTGAATTGACGTAAGAATAAAATTGGGTTTAATTGAAGTTGCCTACTATGTATTTTTCTCGAGCAATACAATTTTTGTGATTTCAGCATTGTATAAACGTGAACAATTCTTGTAGTTGATAAGAACAGAAAGGTTATGAGATCTTTTATAAAGTCTGTACAGAGTACGTTTTTTGGACGCTAATTTACGAATAGCAAGGGGTTGAACAAGCTTTTTTTTATTGCATAATGAAGGAACTTGAAAAGCAATAGATACACTCAGGACTTTACAAATAGCTTGCCAGAATGATTCAATTTCTGGGTTTTGTTTGGCCAACATATACCAGTTTACGTTAAGTATTAATATAGTCAGCTTTATAGAAATTGTGAATACTAGATAATTCACAACGTTTGGAATTCATCAAGTTACAATTAAATAGTATGGTGGAATAGTCGCAAGTGCTGGTGAATGGAGCAGTTGTTTCCACATTGTAAACAATTTTATTATTATTTGTTAAGATGAGGTCTAACAAATTATTAAGTCGAGTATTGTCAGTTACGAGTTGGGTGAGAGCATAGGTCTTTAAAATTATCAGATAAGTAGTTTAGTACCAACACTAAAAAAATAGCTTCTCTCAAAGTAGTTAAGCTCTTTTTTTAAGAAATATTTACCAACTTTCAATTGTTAAACCAAATAACACTAAAAAAATTAACAGCCACAGCTAAATACCAAATGCCTTTTAACCAATAACACTTAAAAAAATTTAGGATTAAAGCAGACACTTTCTGTTGCAGCTGGTAAAGATTATTCAGAAAATTACAATAATGTCAAGCAATTCTGATTATAAAGTTGCATACCAAATCTTTTGTGACACTAAAATGTGGCATTTAAACTTGTTTAAGTAAGTATCTGTGCTGTTGGAGTACACAAAAAATTTTTCAAAGAGAAGTATGCCAAATAAAGTTGGATCAATAAAACAACTGTTCAATAAGTTCTTTCAGAAAGAACTAAACAGAACAAAGATTTTGGAAACACCATTCATTCATTCCGTTCACTCATTCACCATTTTTTTCCTATATCACATAATTTAACAATCATTCTAAAACTTATTCCACCAACGGAACTAAATCTACTCTTGAAGTTTGGATAGATTTCGTACAGTAGCCATCACAATTTCAACAGATACAACTCTATGGTCAATACTTTCATTGCAACGATTGTCATAAATTGTTCCATAAACATTGACAGTTGCAGAAAAATGACTGAGATTTCATGTTAATTTAATATTATTCTATATATTCCAATACTTAAATCCTTCAAAGATATGGTTTTATCTTTGTAAATACCAGCAGAAATTAAAAATCTTCAAAAACTCGTATTTCTCCTTACCAATAAATGAACATCTAAAAAATCATGCAGGCTTTCATTATATAGCATATTTTTTTCGAAAAGAAGAACAACCTCTGATTGTCTTTAGTTAGCAAACAGTTAAAGCAATAGAGATTTTCAAAGGCGTCAGCAAATTTATTGTCACGTGTTATTAAATACAGCAGCAAAAAATTACAAAAGAAAAGTATTTACTTTGTTAGAGTTTTTACTAAGAGTAAATTTTCATGTTAATTAAAAACTGAAACTTATTTAGAGAACAAAACATTTATATTTTATTACTATTTCTTTACTCAGTCTCACACTTTTAGAAATAAATATTTTATCACTAAAATACTTCATCACTATGCCTAAAATACTTCATCGCTAAACCTCTAAAATTTAAAACCAAAGTTTAGTAGGGTAAACAGTACAGTTTTGGGCAGGGACAGTTACTGAACACAACAGAACTTATGTTTAAAAAATAAGAATAGATTTGAAAAAACTTGTTGTCATAGATGCCTCCGTAAACAATTTTGCGCATGCGTATAACCCCTTCTTTACTGGCTAACTCTGCAATATTTATGTCAAAAACGTGTTTTGTTGAACTGTACTGTGCGTGCATTATAATAGCGAATTTTCTTACGAAATTAGTTAAGAGTTGAACTTTTTAAAACGCAAGTATAATATTAATATTTCATTTGGAAATATGTACAAAATAATGTTATAAAAAGTGTATGAATTTCAAACAATTCTAATCCATGGTTCTAATCGTTCATGTTTGTAAAGTTAAGCATAGTGAGGGGTGTCCAGTAACTGCATCACATTTTAATTAGATTTACAATTAATGGACAAAAATACAGATATTGGACACATGTCCAATATCTATATTTTTCAAAGAAAGTTTTTTTTACTATGTTTTTGTTACTATGTTTTTTTTTAACTGTATAAGGAGATTATTCTGATAACTTGCCTCCTAGCCTATGGAGTGGAACAATTTTTATTCCAATAAAAAAAGTTTAATAACAAGTATTTCTGAGACACGAATAATGTTTTATAACAAGAGAAAATTTAAAAAATATTGGTCAAGAAGTTCTAGAAGTTTATAATGCCAACGTGGAACACGAAAGAATCAAAATAATTTTTATAAAAGTCAACCTTATTTTTTTCTTTTATTATTATAAATTTGCCGTTTAAAGTAATTACTTTTTATATAATTAAATAATAATTTTAATAATTACGAATTAATAAAAAAAATTGAAATAGAAGGCAATTTTTGTCCTTTGTCTACATCAAATTCTTGTGACCTCTTAAGTTTAGCAACACTATTGCCAATGTGTTAAATGAAAGTTCATAAATTGCTATGAGATCTGTAAGTATATTGGCAATTTATATTATAACTTTTTTATAGTTTAAAATAATTACTTAACTTTCCTATTTGTAAAATATACAAATGGCGGAGACAACAAGAAGACAAAATAGTCTTATCACAAAAATTTAATGATGATATATATTTATTTGGTAAACATTAAAAAATTTTGGAATAATAAATAGTGGTTGTGAATAAGAGAGACGATCTGCGTTGGATGTTATTCGTATGGCATGTTTTTGGTTGTTGAATAGTTTGTTTAGTTTTTTTTTATTGGTGATGCATCAAGCAATTCTAGCATAATTGAGATAGCAATGAATAAAAAAGAAGTAGATATATTTTAAGCAAATTTGATTTAGATAAGGTTTTACCTTATAAAGTATGCATATATTTTTAGAAATTTTATTTTCGATTAATTTTATGCGACTTATCAATCTGACATTTTTGTCAAGAAGAACACCTAGAAACACCATTGAGTGTTCTCTTTTCATAAATTTTTATTAGGTTTTAACAAAGAGACTGAATCTAATAACAATCTTTTATACTAAAAAGTTAATTAGAAAATTTTTAATTAAAGGGGCACGTTAGGGGCATGTATCAAAAGTAAATATTCCAAGATAAACTTATTTCTTTTCAAAAACGTAACTTTATAATAATTTACCTTGTATTATATACAGTGGGTGATTAATAAATATAAATAATATGGTTAGGCGGTACCAAAATATGACAACTTAATATTTTTTAAATTGTTATACCTTTTACTTTATCATTTTTTATACATTGTAACACAAAAATAAAAAACAATTTTTTTTTAGTTCTTTATAAGAGCAATTAATCTGTTTACAGAAGCATAAAAACCAGTTACTCCAAAGAGAATCCCCGTAAATAAAAGTAAGAAGTCCCATGATCGTTGTGTAACGGAGAGATTTTTCCACTTAAGCTTCAGATGAAAATAACAAGGAAAAATGTAAACTAAAGATGTTCCAATCAAACTTCCTCTTAATGCTAATATAATTGCAAAATGTGGAACAAAAACAGCTATCGCGACTGTACCAGAAACCAATATAAAACGTGAAACTGCGATCCATAAATAAAAATATTTTTTTTCTATAACTGTTTTTTCAGTAAGACTATCAACAAATTCGCTTACAATAAACATTCCCATTGGATAATTTAAAACAGCATAAACAAGTAAAGCCAAAGCACAAGTTATATGAGCAAATTCGTTATCTAATGCAACATTTAAAGTAACAATGCTTTGTGTAAATAAACCGTATGTAAAAGAACCAAAAGAAGCAATAAAAAATTTAAGACCTGCTGTTACTGCAAAAGACTGGTGAAGAACTTTATTGATTTTAGTACAGTCTTTCATACTGGATTCTATTTTTGGGAGTACTGTATGCACAACGCAAGTAAGTGTAATTATACTTATAGCTAAAGGCAATCCTTTGAAATTAATTGCTGGAATTTCTTTCATATGAATGCTCCAAGTACCAGCTTCTACTAAGAAAGCAACCATTATGGCAATTACAGCAACAAACAGAGACGTAAATCCTGCCATGCTTAAATAAGATAGTAAAGATATCTTTCTAACAAATAATGTAGGATATACTGATGCAGAGAATATGATTGTGAGTGCTGTAAATGAGAGGCTTGTGTGGGGTTGAAGAACATCATATATACTTTTTCCAATTAACAAAATATTTAAAACGCAACCAGTATACAAATAAAATACTAAAACAATATTCATGAATTTTGCACCAACTTTTCCCCAAGCACTTCGAGCAATATCAACGTAGTTTGAATGTACCTTTCTGCGCTCTTTATTATTTTCCGACTGCTCATACATACAATCAACCAATAATATACCTGTGGCATCGGCCATTATGCTTATTACAAAAATTAATGGAAGAACAATATAACCACCTATTGCAACGCAATATGGCAGACTAAAAACTGAACTAGCTAAAGGTAGTATATTCCACATTGCAAGTAAAGCGGACGCACCTGCAAAAACAAAATAAAGTAATGAAGTAAATTTGATTAATAATTTTATTGATGTAATAAAGTAAAGTAAATTTGCTAACTTGATTAATGATTTAATATTCTTATTTTCATCAAAATTTATGTTTACCTCTATCAGAAAAAATTTATATTTACCTCTATCTGAAGAAAACTTATTAGAAAAGTTTTCTGTTTTTGTAAACGATTGCGTCACTTGCGGCAGGCTGTTTTGTGCTTGAAAAGATTCAAATATTGAACGTGTACTTTCGCGATGGCTGTGCCAAAGAGAAGGAAGCAAAACAGAAACCTTTATATCATTAGGTTCATTTCTATCATCAACAAGGCTGAACTTGCTATATGCTATATGAATGATAACAATTAATGTAAAAAAAATTCTTTTGTTATAAATATTTATCATAATTACTTTACACTAAATAGTTACTCAAGTTATTGTATTAGTGTAATGTTTATAATTAGTGTTTAAATTTATATTTAGAGTTTATAATTAGAGTAATGTTTAAACTAAAATTTATTTTTGGTTTCTCGCAACTTTTTTTCATCAATTTAACTAAACTTCCATATCAAATTACCAAAACTATTGGCGTAATGTATAGGGTTAGACCTTACGTCAATATGTTAAGTCTCAAATTAATATACTGTATACTGATACACTGTTTTATTAGTTATGCAAATATATCATGGGCAAGTACGCAAACTTCAAAACTTCTAAAAGTTTATAGGCTCCAAAAACACGCTTGCCGTATTATATACTGTAAACATAAACGTGAACATGCAAAACCTCTAATGAGAGATATGAAAATGATGGATATATTTGAAATAAATATTTAACAGCATCTAATTTTTATGTATAGATACTATAACAACCTCTTGCCAGCAAACTTCAAAGATAAGTTCGAAATAAATTCAAATGAAAAGTATGGTCTAAGATCAAATAGAAATAAAAACTTTAAATTGCCTCGGAAATGTAATAAAGTCTCAGAATTTTGTATATCTTATCGAGGACCTAAATTATGGAATGACTGTCAAAAGGAATTTAACTTTATGGTGAAGTCTTTAAATTCAATTAAGTTTCAATTAAAAAAAGAAATTTTTAAAATTTGAATTTAAGATAAAGTTTTTTCTTTTTACTTTATTGATTAATTTAACCTTGTCTTGACTTTTTAATAATAACATTGTTATTAGTATATTTTTATACGAGCTATTTATTCTTACGTTGTTTTATTTAAACTTGTACCTAGGGGTTCTATGAAAAGATTGCGGTAACGTAATGTTATTCTTATCTTCTTTGAGCCCCTATCTGATTTAACTTAATTTTGTTGTAATGTATATACTTTTTTATTTTATTTTATGAGATTCCATATGTATACGTGCATTGTAATAATATTATACGATGTTAATCAGAAAAAAAAAAAAAAAAAAAAAAATTTGAATAAGAAGACAGTTTTATTTACACAGATCTATTTCTACAGTCATGTATTTTAAGTTAGTTAAGTGTGAATTTTAACATTGATTCAAGATTGCATTTTAAGCTGGCTCAACGTTGCATTTAATGTCTATCGAAATTAAATTTTCTTAATACACTTTTTCATTTATTAAAATATAACCTAGCTTAGTTTGGTTTTTTGTTGCTAACGATGCCGCACTTATAAATTAATCTACAGAAATTAAAATTTATTTTACAATAGTTTTGGTGTTTTTAATGTTCTATTTTATAAAACTATTTTATTAAACTTTTTTAAGATAAAATTTTAATTTAATTTGCAAAATGTAAATGGCTTACTTGTGGTTGTAGATAAATGCGAGCTAGACGATATTAAAGAATCAGATCTTTGTCCAGAGTATGAAAAATTGGTACCTCTTGTAACGATCAAAGGCGTTCGCTCAGTAACTTCATCTGTATGATTGGTACCAACATGCTGCGTATCCATTCTGGTACACTTATTTGTTGTTAGACTTTTTTACGCGTTGGTAGAGTTTTTTAAAGTTCTCAATGGTTCTAAAAATGAACTAAAATAGCAATAATAGGAAATAAAAATAGTTTTTTTAGAATACAAAAGATAAAAATGTTTGACAATATCAAGGGATCTTACTCCCTTAATATATTGAAATTAAATTTTTAAACAAAAACAAAAAAAAAAATTTTGTTGTTTAGTTGTATGATTTCCATATGTAAGACGTAAAAAGTTGCTCAAAAATTTTGATTTGAATTCTTTATATTTACCTGTTCTGTTCTCTTCTATTTTATAAGAGAGACAACATGGCAAGGGTACCGTCAAGTCGTATTCAAGTTGTAAGGGTACCGTCAAGTTGTATTGGAGCTTGGGCTGTAAATCCTGGCTCGTGTTTGTTAACGGCTCGGTGATCGGCTCGACAAGAACTCGTTCATGTTCGGCTCGAAACGAGCTAAGCTTGAACATCATAGGCTCGTTCTTAAAGGCTCGATTAAAGCTCAAATATATATATATATATATATATATATATATATATATATATATATATATATATATATATATATATATATATATATATATATATATATATATATATATATATATATATATATATATTATAATAATATATATGTAATAAATAAAGTTGTGATATTATATGTATTAGTATATAATAAAAATATAGTGTTAGTGTAACCATATGAGATATGACCCATAAAACTTATTACACTAAATAATTGATTAATATAAATAATTTAATTACGTGAGGCTGCTATTGACTATTGTCATTTGCCAACAGGCCCAATATGTTTTAGACCATTTTTAATGGATTTAAGAGTGTACAAATTATGCAAAACAGAAAAGTAAATATATAAAACTTTTTTTTCAAACTCTTTTTACAATGATTTTGTTGAAGGAGCCATTTTTTAACTTGTAGAGAGGTATTTTTTCAAGTTGCACAACTAAATGTTTCCTGATAATATTTTGAATGTTTGTTTATTTACTCTTCTATTTAATGAGGTAAAGTCGTGAATTATTGTTTTTGTTAAAGACTTGTATTTGCTAAATCTAGAACTATAAATTAGTGCTCAACAGACTTTTTTTTAACTTTGAAAATATAAACTTTGAAATTTTAAAATTCGAATTTCATTACTTCGAACTACTAACTTTCTAACTTTAATATACAATTCGCGTCATATTAAAACGATTAAATACATTATAACATTTTTCTTGCTTTCTGTTATTATAAAAGTTTATTCATTCCTCTTCTTCTTTGTGAATAAAAATGTTGATTATAAAACTTTTAATACAATTAATAGAACTACAAGTTGGAGAGCGTCAAACAGTTAAAAAGGATAATTTGCGATAAGCAAAAATTAGCAAACTTTTAATTAAAAAAACTTTGAAGAAAAATTGAACTTTGAAAATCTAAAATTCGAAATTCATTACTTCGAAATACTTTGATTGTATACGCAATTATAAGAACCATTTTGTTCAACTTCGAAAAAATCGAATTCCGTGTTTTCGAAGTCCATATCTTTAAACTGCGAAATTCGAGGTTCGAAAAGTTTTTCGAAGTTTTTCAAAGTAAATTCTTCGTATTGCAGAAGCTTACTATTCACGATTTTTCTACTGTCTATTCAAAGTTCAAACAGAAACAGGTACCTCTTTTTTCTTTTGTTATAGATACTAACTGTTAATACTTTTTACTGTTCTTCCATTATATGTTTAGTTTATTGAAATTAACTATTATGGATGAAATCAATATTATTGATGTTGTTGATAATGTTGATGTTGGTGAAAATATCAGTGAAAATGGTAACAATTTAATTGACGTAGAAGATGAGAATACAAGTAGTACTGTTAATGGAAGAAAGAGGAAAAAAACTTCTGGTGTTTGGAAATCTTTTGAAGAGGTGTCTGAAACTGATAAGAATGGTACAATAATTTATAAGGTGAAGTGCAAAGGATGTCTTCAGTCTTGGCAAAAACAAAAATCTGGAGCTACAACGCAACTAAAAAGACACATAGGCTTATGCATACCACTGAGGACTAGAGGGAAGAATAAGGTATTACCTTTTCTGCCAGAAGGTAATACTAGATTGGATGTTAATCATAAAGAACTTTCTTTAAATTATGATCCAAAAAAAATTCGAGAGATACAAGCTAAGATGTTTATTGCACATGAGTATACCTTTAATATGATTGAACATAAGTGGTTCAACATCTTTGCAAAGGCTTTGAATTACAAGTACCAAAAGGTATCAAGAGTTACCCTCAAATCTGATTGTGTCAAGGTGTATCAAGCTGAAAAGGACAAGTTAAAGAGTATGTTGGAAAATGTTAGAAGGGTGTGTTTAACTTCAGACAACTGGACTTCAAATCAAGCAGTTGGGTATATTTGTGTCACTATTCATTTTGTTGATAAAGATTGGATATTAAAAAGTTTTATCGTAAATTTTTGTGAATTAGAGCCCCCTCACACTGGAGTTTTTATTGCTGATTGTATTGCCAAATGTATGGAATTATGGGAAATAGAAGAAAAGGTTCAAGCAATAACTCTTGACAATGCAAGTTTAAATGATGTAGCTGCTACTTGCTTGAAAAACAATTTAATTTCCCGAAATAAGCTTCATTTCAAATTTCATATATTTCATGTTCGTTGTGCTGAACATATATTAAATCTTTTGGTGCAAGATGGGATAAAAAAAGATTGCTTTTGCTATTGAAAGTATTAGAGAAACGGTGAAGTATTTAAAGAAATCTCCTGCTCGTTTATATAAACTTGGACAAATTGCAAAGTAAATGGATGTTCCAACGAACAAGGGGTTGCGACTTGATGTCGCAACACGTTGGAACTCCACTTATACGATGTTAGAGCATATTCTGTTATTTAAACTTGTTTTGAAAGAATATGCTGCAAGGGATGCTAACTACGAATGGTTGCCTTCTGATGAGAATTGGATTAAAGCTGAAAAAATATGCAAGTTTTTTTCAGTGTTTAATACAACATCTAAGCTATTTTCAGGAACCAAATATCCAACAGCAAATTTATATCTTATTCAAGTTTGGAGTGTGAAACACATGTTGAACACACATCTTGCAAGTGATGATGAGTACATGAGGAAAATGGCAGCAACTATGTCTATTAAAAATGACAAATATTAAGGTGATTGCAACATGTTGATGTCAATTGCTTCTGTCTTGGATCCTCGTTACAAAATGGAGTTTTTGAAGTTCATTTTTCCTCAACTGTACAATGTTGTAGATAGTCAAGATCATCTCAAGAAGGTTATGGAAGTGCCCAAAGAGTTGTGCCAAACTTATGTTAGTGAAAGTGAGACAACAGGATCAAATAATACAACCATTAAGGATAAAAAACAATTTTCCTCAAATTTGCAGCAAGTTATTGACTTTGAGCAAATTCAGTAGCTGAAAAGACTGAGTTGGAACTTTATCTTGAGAAAAGGCGTTTCAAATGTGAACCGTCAACCCACTTTACTTTTGATGTACTAGGTTGGTGAAAGGTGCATAGTTTTAATAAACCAATCCTCTCAATGATGGCACGAGAAATACTTTCAATTCCACTAACATCAGTTGCTTCAGAATCTGCATTTAGCGCAGGAAGGTCGAGCGCTTGATTCATTTAGAAGTTCATTATCACCTGAAACAGTGGAAGCTTTGGTTTGTTGTGCAAATTGGTTAAAAGATGATAGTCAAGAGAAAAAGGTAATGTTATTCTCTTTGTCATTTTTATGATATATTTTTTAATTCAAGATTTAATATCAACTAATTTTGTAGGTTGATCTTGAAGAAGAAAATATGAATGCCGTTATTCCAACGGTTCTTAATTCTACTATATAAAAAGGTAAACAGTTAAGGTTCTAATTATATTTTTATGTAGCATGATATCTCCTTTCAAATTCCAATTATTTTTTATATTTAATTATCTAGATTCATTCTCATGCATGTTTGTTGTAAAATTTCAGATTTTCAGCTCACTTTTGAGGTTCAACTTCAAGAGAATTAGAGGAAGGCTTTTTATCTTGTTTCATCCAATGCAATGAGAGCAAGACTTATATTTGTGAAAATGTAATTTGAACTATTAGAGTGCAGTGTTTAATAGGAATTATTATGTTTGTGAGAGTTTAAATTATGTTTGAACTTTGAACATTAAGTTTGAACATTGAAATATTAGGTTTAACTTTTATTTTGAACTTTTAGATTTGTGGGATCTTATTTCATTATGTTGTTTATTTGCATGTTGAATAGACTGTAGGATTGTTTATGTTGTTTGTTGATTTGGACTTGCATTATTTACAGACGAGCTTTTAATGGACAATTTTTTTTTTACTAAACGAGCTTTAAACTAACAGGTTACAATAATTATTTCGAGTTTTAAACCAGTAAAGCTCGAGCAACATGTAAAACGAGCCGAGCCTAAACAATACTGTTTTTTAACGAGCCGAGCTCGAACAAAGAATCTCATGTTCGAAACAAGCTCGAGCCGAGCCTGAACACTCTTAATAAGTAAACGAGCCGAGCCCTGGCAAGCTTGGCTCGTTCGGCTCGATTTACAGGCCTAATTGGAGCACCATAATCACAAAAAAAAATGTTATAGTTAAAGCAAAATTAAGTTTAGAGAACTTGGTTATATTATAACTAAAAGAATTTTTAAATTTCATACTTTTTGGAGTTCCTGAGAATTTTCAAGCATTTTTCTCTTAAGCTTTTTTTTCAAGCATTTTTCTATTACGAACTCACAACAGACTTATGTTAAAATTAAGACCTTTTGAAATAAACGGCAAATCCTACAATGGATTAATTTCTTTTTAGAAGACAGAAAGCGACGCGTTACAATTAATAGTACCAGCTTTGATTGGGTTGTTGTTCTCAGTGGTATTTCTTAAGATTTTGTTTTAAGTCTGCTCTTCTTTATTCTCTTTACAAACTTCTGAGATATTTGCTGGTAATACAAAACTTTCTTCTAAAACTTTATCACAGATTATTCTCGTTGATCAGCAAGATTGTCTAGGTTTAGTATATGAGTGGTCAAACACTTGGTTACTTATGTAAAACATTTAAAAACGCTGTGTCATTATTACGTTTAAAATAAACTTTATTATTTTGACTTTTTTTTAAATAATCGAGGTATGAATCAATGTCTATTAATAAGCTCTACTAAAGAGCGTTATTTGGGAGTCATTTTTACATATTGGCTAAAGTAAAACATTCACATTCATTTATGAAAAAATGACTCTAAAGTTATACAAAATGTTTATAAGATCTCAAATATGTGTTTGTTTAGGCTCCATTTTTGAAAACTGATACAGCCTTGGTTGAATCTGTTTAACTCAAAGGAATAAAATGAGCTTGAGACATTTTTTAATACTGCAAAAGACTAAAATTTTTCTAAATCTAAATCTTTACATTAATACATCAATTTCATAAAGTTTTTTTTTAATTTTTTAAATTTGTCTTTTACTATAAATACAATTTTCATATACATACATATACAATAAAATAAATAGCTGGAGCGAGAAGAAGACATAATGTCTTATCACCGAATACTATTTTTATAAAATCGTTCTTTACAAATATCTTATTATAAAGAAGTAAATATATAAACTAGAAGATAATATATTGTATTGTTTTATGCAAAATTTAAATCATAAAAATGCCAATAGTAATTGCTAAACTGCTTACATTTTTTACAAGCAAAAAACAAATAAATGTTTCACATATACACATACCATTCTAAGAGAAAGGGGATATCATTATATAAAGGGGATATCTGAGAGGGGATATCATTATATAAAGGGGATACCATTATATAAAGGGAATATCTAAGAGAAAGGGGATATCATTATATAAAGGGGATATCTGAAAGGGGATATCATTATATAAGAAGGATATCATTATATAAAGGGGATATCTGAGAAAAAGGAGATATCATTATATAAAGGGGATATCTGAGAGAAAGGGGATATCATTAGTAAACTTGGTAATATGAATTGTAATAAAAACTTTTTTCTTAAATTTATCTTAACTTTTTATTTGTATTTATACATAAAGACTAAAATTTGATTTTAACTGATTTTATAAATATTTAATGCTTCCACTAAACACAGGAGAGGCTTGCAAGGTTCTTTTCTCTTTGCTCCAAACACAATTCGACATGCATGTTTTGTTTAGTACTGTAAAGCTTTATTAGTTTTGTATAACTAATACTTGCCCAAGTTATTTTACACTATGTTAAGTAATTATGAATAAATGTATTTAAAAATTAGAAATGGTTTAGTTTTATAAATCATTGCAATATTTTTTGAAATTTTTTTTCTAGACTTTCGGTATGAAAATTCCATCGTAAACTTTCATCTAACTCCACAACTAAAAAGTTTATTGATGATTTCTATTTAAAAGTCTTATTATAAACAAAACTATTATATTTTTGTTTATAATAAGATTTGGTAATTTCGATGGGATAATATCACTTTTATTTAATATATGGAATAAGATAAATTTAGTTTTGTCAGGATTTAGAGAAAGTTTTTACTTACAAACCACTCATCAACTTTATCTAATTGTTCATTAAAAGTTTAAAAAGTATATTAATATCTTTGTGAATATAAAAGATTGGGGTCATCTGCAAATAGAACTAATAATATTAAATTTATAAGATTTGATGATAAATATAGATTATTTATGTACAGTAGAAATAATAATGGCCCCAAAATATTTATTTATGTAGAGTAGAAATATTAATGGCCCGTTGGAAACCCCACAAGTTATTGAGTGTTTAACAGTTAGTTTTAAATCAAAACATATGATTTAACATTGAATTCAACGTTTGATTCAACATTGTTTTCTGTTTTTAAGTAGTCTTCAAACCAAAGTTTTTGGTTGCCATAGTTTTCAAGTTTAATTAGCAGTGTATCATGGTTTACTGTAGCAAAGGCTTCAGGCAGATCAATGAAAACTCCTAATGTAAAATAATTGTTGATTAGGTTGTCAAATATCTCGTTGACTCGCTCAACTGTTGCGAAGTTTAGTTAAATGAATTTTTTTGAAACCAAACTGTTTTCTATGCTGCATATAATTCTTTGTTAGATAATTGTTGAGTCTGTTGAACATTAAACGCTCAGGTATTTTAGAGAAAATTTCATGTTGCAACCCAGTTTTTGATAAGCCAACAAAAGATTGTAATCTTTATTTTTCACTGTTACGATTACCCAAAAATGAACTTTCCGAAAGGTCCAAAAGTTCTAAAAAGATTTCTATGCTAGTTATAGTGAATTTCTATTTCGGTCTTAAAAGATGACCTTATTTGTCATTATATCACTTTGAGGAAGTTGTCTTTTAGATAAATAAAATTGATTGCCTTTTTTATCAGTCTAGATTTGATATGCAATATGCAGAAAAAAAGCTTTGAATGGCTTGTCAAGTTGATACTTTTTTTTTTTGCCATGGAATTAAAGATGCACGCGTTGGACACAAATCATCTGAAGTCCGAGACAACAACTTTTCAATTGTCACTAATTTTAAAAGATATTTTTCTGACTGAAGTTTAAATGACGATATAATGGTAATAGTTGATTTAATAAATTATATTATTTGATGTAGTAATTGATGATATTAATTATTGATAATTATTGATGTAATAAATGTATGATCTATTCAAAATGAATAAACTGTTGTTTAAATTCTATTCTGCTGTTTAGAGAGCACTGTTGTACTTTGAATATTAATCTACGTACTTTTTGCATAGAAGATTATGCTACGAGACGGTCAATCATGCTAGAATCAAAACACAACGGTAAAAAAAAAAGTTAAAAACTAAATGCACTTGGAAACTGGGAGTAACACTTTAATAAATCTAGACATAGCGTGCTTTCCTTCCTAAAAGGACGACTTCTGGTAACCCTAGCAAAGATCATTTAAAATGAAAACCTTTATATTTAGATTGAATACAAATAATGTTGGCTTAAAAAAAAAACTTTTTTAATCGATCAAAGAACTACCAGAATATGATTATAAAAATTTTTAACACCTAATTGCATACAATCAGAAATTTCGTACAAATAAGTATAAAAGCAAATATATAATATCGGAAACAAAACAAAAATCTGTTTCAATTTAGAAGACTGCAAAGACTGTAAAATAAAAACTTAGATAAACTTCTTTTTCGCAAAAGGTTAAGGTGAAAAATCTAAGTAAACATCAAAAATACCTTGATTATTCATAAATACCTTGGTTATTCAGGATATATCTCATGACAGCTTAACTAGTAAGTTTCCTGTAAATTTATCCCGCTTAAGGTTGCTTACTACAGTAAATTTTTTATTGAAGTTATTTCAACTAATAACCTTATGCAATTTTTTACGTGAAAGTATATTCTTCGAATTTATGCCCGAAAATGATTTAGTATAACTTGAAACTTATATTCCAATTTAATCAAGAAGTATCATAAGTATTAATATAAAGCTGTTAAAGCCCATCTTAATTTTATTTTGAAAGGTTCTAGTTGTTATAATTGAGAACAAGCAGGTGGTCTGAGAATTATACTTCACGTTATGATACTTTAAACATTGGTATGCTTTAAAAACCATTTTTTAACCTACTCTTCCTCTTTTGGTTATCGGGGGGTGGTAATGATAATTCCAAAATTTATTAAATTAAAAATACTTTGTTTTTTTGCTATCATTATATAGAAAAGTTGCTATTGTTTTTTTTTTTTTTTTTTTAACTTTTATATTTTCTTTTGGTTAAATTTTCAGTTCCAATTTTTTAGTAAGTATTTCTGATCTTTATTTTTAGTGGAATAAGGCTGTTAAACAGAAGGTATTAAAGTTAAAGAGGCGAGCTATTGTTTTTAGTAAAAATCTTTTCTTATTTTTTTGCTTATTGTGACTTCCCATTCTATCAAAAACATTTGCATTTTATAGTATAGTTTTTTTTTACACATTAAATTAACTTGATTTTGTTTATCAGAAAATGATCTAATAAAAAAAGAGAAAAAAATGCTGATCAATGAAATTCAAGCTCCGGTTTAAAATTAATCAATGTTTTTCATTCAGTTTTGTTATACTGGATTTGAGTTCTAAGTTTGAGTTTACGCCTAAACTCAAAACGTGTTTAAACGTTTAGACGCCTAGAAAATATTATACGTTTTAAACCGTCTTTTAGTATAATTGACTTAAAATAATAATGATAACATCAACAACAACATATATAAAATACATAACATATATAAAATACATAACATATATAAAATACATAACATATATAAAATACATAATATATATAATATAAACAATTATAAAAATTAAAATTAAACAAAAAATTTTTTTTCATGAAATTTATAACACACGAAAACTTCACAATCCAATTTTGAAATTCTTCATTTTTTTTTCTAAAAACAAATTTGTTATAGTTATGTTAAAGTTCACTTACCAACTTTACCAACAAGTAACCGCTGATGAGAGCGACGCAACAGTTATGACGAGTTGCGCATAATTAATAGTAGTAAGACAAACTGATTTGCCCACACAACTAGTGAATTCATATTCTAGAAAAAACATAACTTCTAACGAAGGTAAAGATTGAAATTTTTTACCGATATTAAAAAACCGGCAATCAGGTTTTAAATTAAAGTGTTACGATCATTATTATAACGATAGTAAATAATTTATTATCCACGCATATTTCAGTGAACGCACTAGCAGAGTTTATTTATGTTTTGAATTTAATTCGTATCAATGATTTAAACTAACATAAATATCTTCAAGTTTGAAACAAACATACAAACGAAGCTGTTAATTATTTATTTAGAGTTGAAAAGTATTATTCAATAAATAAAACTTTTTTTATTAAAAACTAAAAGAACAAAGTTGCCACAATGAAAATCGGATTTTTTTTATTATAAAATTGAAAATACAGTTAAAAATTTTAAATAAATAAAAAGGTTTTAAATTTATAAAAAATATATACAACAAAGTTTTAAAAATAATTTTAGCAAAACCTTTTTGAGAGACCAGTTTGGTATCAAATTGATTCGTTTTATTCTCAAATATATATTTTTTCACAATCAGTATAAATAATAATTACGGGGTACAACAGCTTATGATAAAAGGAGTCTTATAAAGGGATACTAAAGAGGGTGTGGCAAATCAGTTGTCAAATTTTTTTTTTTAAACCAATAACCCAAATTTAACACAACTTTATCACAGTCGCATTTGTTAGTCAATCAACGACAGTTTACCTCTTATTTTGTCCCAATAACTGCAAAAAAACTTATGTTGAAAGGTAAATGATAATTAAGTTAAACACTTCAATGCAAAATGGTCAAATTTAAACTTCTCCATAAATAATAAATTGTTTTTTTTTTCTTTATTTTTGAATATGAATTAAAATTAAAACAAAAGAAAAAAAAAACACAGGGCAAAACACAATTCACCATTATTTTTCGTTCTAATTTAACAATAAAAGCAGTAAAACAATTTTTAAACTTATTTTATTTCTTGTTATCTTCTATTACAATTAGAAAATTTATAAATTTGGAATTAATTAAATGTTTAATTAATTACAAATAATAATAAAAAAATATTCAATTTGTAGAGAAAATAGAATTAGCCTTATGTACGTTATATCTAAGAAAATACTGAAAATATTTTTTTTTGACACTCATTTAATATTTGGTATTGTTTCCTAAATTCTTAATGACTTCAAATAATCGACTTGACATACTAGTCACAAGATTTTAGTTTCTAAAGATATTTTGTTCCAAGCTTCTCTAATACAAGTTGTCAGCTCCAATGTAGAAAAAATTGTCGTGCTTGGTATACCTAAGTCTGTTAAAATAAACCAAACAAAATAACTAAAGATGACACCACAGAATTCAAAAAGGTTATAGCATACTTAAGAAGGTTATAGCGTTCTTAAGAAAGTTAAGTAATAAAATGAGTGATGGAAATGCATCACTAATTTTTGAGTCAACAGAAATTTAGAGAGACCTTGGTATCTTTATATCTAATGACCTAAAATGGAATCAACACTTACAGGTTGCAACACGTAACACTTACAGGTTGCAACACTTACAGGTTGCAACACTTATAGTTTGAAACACTTACAGGTTGCAACACGTAAAACAATTAAGATACTTGGCCAATTGAAAAAAACATTTCAAAAGATCAAAAGATATGAAGCTTTGGAGTAAACTATACACTAGGTATGTTATGCCTCATCTAGAATTTGCTGTTACGGTATGGTGTCCCTACTTAAAAAGTGAAATCAAAGAAATGGAAAACAATCAGTACTTACAGCAATAATTTAATAGGAGAATCGTTTGATGAGATGTATCGGTATCTCAATTTTACTACTTTGGAAACTTGCAGGCAAAGAGGAGACTAAATCCATTAGTTCAAACTAAAAAACGGTTTTGAGATCATCAATTGATATAATCCAACGTTCTAATGCGTGAATTCACATATAATAATGCTTTTCATAATTTCTACACAAATCGTATTGTCAATGATCGGAATAACTTACTGAGGGCAAGTTTTTTTTACTACAGCTGGAAATAGTACATCTTTTACTGAAGATGAGCTGCGAATATTGACTGTTAGATAAAAAAAAAAAAAAATTTAATTCTTTTTCTCAGTTTTAATATAAACTTATTTGCTATGGAATAACGGATGCTTTTTTTTTTTACATAAAGTTTTTATTTTACTATAAATTTTTGTATAATTTATTGGTTTCGTTTTTGTTTAATTATTTTTCATCTAATATAAATGTTTAATATATTTTTAATCTATAATGCGTTGTTGTTTTATTTCAATAATAATTTAAGTGGTATGTCTGATTTAAATTGACTAGTTATTAGATAAATTAACACAAACTTCTTTAGATCATTTTTTAAGATGGTTTCTTTTATGAACAGTTAGTTGATGTTTTTTCAAATTTAAATCTTTAAGTCGATAAAATAAAAAGCAGAAAAAAGTTTTAGATATCTTCAAATGACAGTTTTTTTAAAAAATAAGTTGTAATCTGATGTGGAGATAAAGTAGAATATTCTAGTCAATTTCTGTTTGTATTTGCTTTGGCTAGTAGAGTCATCAATACACTCTTTATAATAAAAAGTTAGAAGAGTCACACATTTTTTTACAGTAAAAAGTTGCAAGGTCGCACTTTTTTTATTGTAAAAAGTTACCAAGGTCACACTTTTTGTTAGACATATAACAACATTTTAAACTTTATAATGTTTTTAAAATGCATGCTTTTATAAACTTGGAAGTAGTTTTTTTTCAACACAGTCAGTAAAGATCAAATAGTTAGAGTATCATCAAAGATTTGTTGATTTTATGTTGTAGTCAGTAGCATGTTTTAACATTCAAGCTTTATTTTTGATGTCAGATTCAAATATGACTAAAGATGCATTTCGACTACATAGAAATGCTACGATTACAAAACAATGCAACCTGTATTCTACATGTTACATGTATGCAGTGGCTGGATAGCTCAATTGGCTAGAGCGTCAAACAAATTTTTAAAACCCGAACTGTTGTGCAATACGAGTTTGAATCCAGTCACCACTAGCTTAGCGCTTAAGTAGTACTTCGGTACGCAAAAATATTGGTCAATAACGGACGTTATTTTTGATTAGTCTTTATGGCTATTGGTGCAAGTTCCTATACTAAGCCAACAATAGCTTCGGATATAAGAGCATTGTATAGCAAACTATAGCATGAAATTCAAATAAATAAATAAAATAAAATAAAATAGTGCAAGACAAAAATGTTTATGAGTTTTGATCTTTGTTCTGATTAAAAGGCAACTCAAAATATATTTGTAAATTATTGCGTGGTTAGGCCGCATTTTGAAAAGAAAGGTTGTTATTTTATAATAGTTGTAAATATTAAAGTACCTCATATAAAAACAAAATTAAAATCTTTTCTTTTTAGATAAAGTTAGATTTCAGACATATAACTGTAAAAAATTATTTTTATATAAACGAAGTGTAATAACATAAGATATAAAAGGTTAGAAACGTTGTTTTTATACTTTAAACAGTAAATTTGCAATAACAAATTCCTGTATGTATCGGGTTACAGCATATCAAAAACTACTGATGAATTAAAGTAATAACACTAAACTCCAAAGAAAATAAACAAATAAAAAAACAGTTTAATACTCATCATATAATTTAAAATAATACTCAGTAAATAAAATTTAAACTAATTGTAGCGTAAGAAAGTTTATAATAAAAAAAATGAAAAAGTTGTGTTACAAAACACTTGTCAAATTCATGTGTAAATAACCAGACCAATAACCGTTTTAAACAAAAGTGCCAAGGACAATTTTTTTGATGTGAAGAGAAGGAGGGGGAGACGGGGCACAATTGTAAACTTCAAAAAACAGTCCACTTTATTTTGAAATTTCTAAAAAAAAAAAAAACTAGAAAAAAAGAACACATACCTAATTTCAAAGTCTCTTATTTTAATCCATCTAAACGAGTTCCAAAAAAACCTAAATCATATGGGAACATTTACACCCGATTTTTAATGGAAAAGTAGATTGTTAAATATGCAAAGCAAAGATTTTAAACAACATTGTCTCTACTGGTGCAACGTCAAATCACTTAAAGTAAGAACATGAAGATGGCAATAATGGTAAGCTAGTAGTAAAAAAAAAACAATGTTTGATTTCATAATACGTTTTAGTCAACAAGAAATTGCGACTAAACTAGCTATTGTTGATGGAATTTCAATAAGAGCTATGACGAGATCTAATTTTATACGAAAACTAAATGTACCAAACATGTGCCAAAAAATGAATCCGATTTCATGTGACTTATTCATAAAAGTTATGAAAAAAAACGGCTCAACTATGTGTTAATTAAAAAGCTAAAGAATAATAGAAGACTCATTATAATACTTGACAAGTGGACATGTATCTGGATAAAACGCTACATAAATATCATTTTACTTGATGCTAAAGAAAAAGAATCGTATATTTTTGGATTAGTGAGAAATTGTGGGTTCTGCATTTGAAAATTTATGTAATATTGTCTGTTTTTTAGAAAACCAATAGTTAGAAATTATATTTTGCCTGACAAGATCAAACTTTGGTGGGGAGAAGATTTATAAATGTTCGAGAGTAGATTACTGCGTCTCTTCTTGAGTTAAACATAATAGATATGCTGGCTTCAACCTTTTATGTAATTAATGCTCACAAACCATATTCTACTAGCCAAAGCAAATAAAAAGCTTGTATTTCTAAAATCGTTTTATTTAAAACTGAATAAAGATTTATAAAAATTAAATTAAAACATTGTTTGTTGTTTTGATCGTGTTAAAAATTTTATTGATCAGTTATTCAATACCCAACGGCTTTCAAAAATCCAGAAACCAAAGCAGTCTAAGAATCCATAAACCATCCAGCAGTTATCAAAACATCGAACTTTTAGAAAGTCTAGTAATTACACTTTTAGAACCTTGTGTTTCTGTTGCTTAATTTGATGAGCATTATTTTTAAATTTCTTTTTAGAAAAAGTTACCCCAAAAACAAGAAAGATTTTTGCAAATGTTTTTATTGGTGTTTATTGCTTAGAAAATAAATGAATGAAGGCTTTCCTTAAAAAGTTTAAA